CAATCAACCAGAAGATCGAAACAACAGACCGGTCGCTCAACGCGACACATATCTTCTATGATCACATCATCTATTTATTTATTTTTCTTATTTTCAACTTTATTTGCCTATTGAGGATTTATTTTGTTTCCTGTAAAATTAATAAAGAAGAATATTTGTAGCTCAGATCTTTCATTGCCCAACTAGGTAACATCTTTAGGACTAGCTTTGATGATGTTAGTTTGGGTAAAGAAACATCTGCAAGAAAACAGACAAGCTGAGAGAGCATCAAGGACCCCTTCTGAAAGATTGTTCACTCAGTAAACAAATACATCATAGATGTTATAAACTTGGGATATATTATGCTTATTTGTTTAAAAAAATGCTTCTTGGTGTCTTCTATCTTATGATGTCATCTTTATAAATTGTAATAATAATCTAATCACTGTAAGTCTAGCGAAGGAATATCTGACCTAATAAATATTTAGGAAGTAAAAAAAAGACTGCTGGAAAAAGAAAAGCTAAGTACTTTATTCATAATAGAAAACCCTAAATAAATATATCATTTGAGTCAATTAGCAATGATTTAACTCATTTGTTAATCTTTTTTCTTTTTAGCCTACATTAAAGTATAATTTGGAGGCCACTAATCTCTTCTTTTAAAGAAGGAGTAGTAATAATGAGAGTCAAGTTAAATTTATACTATTAAAGTTTAAATAAACCATGAGTTTTTAAAAATGATAGTGTAAAGCTCAAGGCTAAGGTCAGTTTGTCTATAAATGAACAGAGACAATTTTTCCACATGATCTGCCATTTTCCAGCTCTTCTTCTCCATAGAATTGGAAAGAAAGGGAAAGCAATTAAGATACAGCAGATAAAGATTTGTGAACCAACTAATTTTCTAAACAGAGCACAACAAAGGACAGGATTAATATACCTTTATTATCTTGAAAGCAAGCATAGAAGTTTTTTTTTTTCACTTGTTGGATCCAACATATTTTTTCAATATTGATTTCAAAGAATAATTGCCCTTCCTTGACATGTACTTTGTTATATGGGAACCCTAAATAGAGGAAAATCTGCATTTTCACAAAATCATGTCCAGACTAATAACTGGTGGAAATAACTCATAAGGAATAGCAGTGAGTATCCACTAGGAAAATAATTTTTGAAAATATAATGACAGATGCCTTGACTTTTCTTCCAGATATGGATGACTGTTTTGAATGCTCAGAAGATCGCTATCCAAATAAAGCAAAGAAAGGATGTATCCTGAAACCAGTGGTCTTTCTATCATTTGAAGAACCCTTAGGAACTGGTTTAGCCTCAGCTGCTCTTTATTTCTTCTTCTTGACATCTTGGGTCCTTGGAATTTTTATTAAGCACAGGGATACTCCCATTGTCAAAGCCAACAATCGGTCCCTCACCTACACCCTTCTTGTCTCCCTTCTGCTCTGTTTTCTTTCTTCTTTGTTGTTCCTCAGCCAACCTGGCAAAGTGATCTGCCTTTTCCAGCAATCAACTTTTGGCATCACCTTCTCAGTGGCCATTTCTAGTGTACTGGCCAAAACCATCACTGTGGTTGTGGCTTTCATGGCTACAAAACCGGGATCTCAGATAAGGAAATGGGTGGGGAAAAGATTAGCTTTTTCAGTTGTCCTTTTCTGCTCCATCATCCAAGTATGTATTTGTATAATTTGGTTGTCAACATCTCCCCCATTCCCTGAGTTGGACATGCACTCAGAGCTCCAAGAAATGATTTTACAATGCAATGAAGGATCAGAATTCTTCTTCTACTGTGTCTTGGGCTACATGGGTATCTTGGCAATTGCCAGCTTTATTGTGGCTTTCCTTGCCCGTAAATTACCTGACAGCTTTAACGAAGCCAAATTCATCACCTTCAGCATGTTGGCTTTTTGTAGTGTTTGGATCTCCTTCTTTCCAGCCTATCTGAGCACTAAAGGAAAAGCCATGGTAGCTGTGGATATCTTTTCCATCTTGTCTTCCAGCACTGCATTACTGGGTTGCATATTCTTGCCAAAGTGCTATATCATTGTTTTCCGGCCTGAGCTAAATCAGAGAGAGCAACTAATCAAGAGGATTTAGTACAGCATGTGATTTTCCTCACTATGAAAAATTGCTGACAATAGAAAGACTGTCTGCTATCTCCTGCAAACGTATAATTTTAATTTCTGTCAAAGGAAGATTTATGGAGGGTTATTATTGCAATTAAGATTTATTATGTTTGGCCATTCCAAAAGGAGTGCTCCTGCTGTTGCATTTATAACCATTTTCCAAAGAAATAAATAAATACATCAGCTTTACAGGATAACCCAAACTGTTTGAAATAATGGGTTCTTTGATCAACTTTTGACCATATCAAAATATATATTTAAAAAGAGGAGGCAAGTATTTCCAAACAATTATTTATTAAAAATATTTCTGATTTAATATTTACATATATACCAAACTGTTAGTAATTCCCTCATGTATTACTTATCCACTCATGTTTTAAATACCCTAATTATGTGAATTAGTATCTGATAACCAAGACCACAAGAGCTAAAGCAAAACATGAATAGGGAGCTTTATTAACTCCAGAGATAGCATAACAAGAATGCTATGCCTGCAGATGAACAATCTGCAAATTGACACAGCCATGTATTTCTGCAGAAGTCATTAAGCAGAGGGAATGATAGCAAATATATTCATCTGTATTCAATATCCTGCAAGTCAACTCATACAAATAAACTCAGATTAAAATTTTACTATAATCACTGTCCAGAAAAATCAGTTAAATCCATTATAGGAAGAAGCAAACATCCCCAATCTGGTACCCAATACAAACATACATGACTAATTGGAAGAGTGAACAAATGATTTTACAGATCACAGACCCACAAAACATATTAAAATGATAAGCAAGAATACAGTATAATAGTTAGAAAATGTGAACTCGTAAAATATTCCTATCCCTGTTTTCAAGTTGCCATAAACAAGAAGGGGGGAATCTGAAGGAGCAGTATGGCAGTTTAAAACCAGAAGTACAAACCACCATTATCATAAATAATGATTTTCTGGCCACAAAAATCCTTCATTGGAGAATGTGATTGATGACACTTAGTCTGTGAATGTGCTTCATTGGAGAATCTGATTTATGATACACCTGGGGGGAAGGGGGAAACAGGATCACAGGTGATTGTAAATTATGTATGCCAGAGTTGGCTTCATTTAGATTAATGCGGGCATGTTGCTTCTAATAAATTTTATGAGTTTTTTTGAAGTTGCTCAAGGCTCATGATTCAATTAGGGCAATTGCCGGAACCCGGACAAAATGTTTCTTAAATAAAGGAAATAAGAAAAATAGATTATTCTAGTGATCACTATAATGTTCTGCTTTCCACAGTGTCAACAGTAATAGATCCACAATGATAGATTTTCCTTGGCTTATAACTACACTTGAGACCAGAATATTCCTTCTAAACAAGGCAGGTTATTAAGTGTGTCACACTTGATTTTACAACCATTTTTGCCAAGGTGGTACAGCAACTCACTACACTTAAGTGAATCACTCAGTCATTAAGCTAAGGTCCTGTTGGGATTAAAATCCAGCCTGTTTCCAAGCCAGGAGAAAGATGCAAAAGCCAATGAGTTTGGAGGCAAGCTGCAGGAAATGAAGTCTTGATTTATTAAGGCTAGCTTGGTCACTCAACAGTGAGACAGTGGTGAAGCAGGCTCAGCAGTGCCTACATTTTCTGCATCACATGAGAAAAATTCATCTTCCTCCCCCTATCTTTACCACTTTCAATAGAGGAATGATCGAGAGTAGCATTACTGTTTGCAGCAAACAGCATTACTGTTTGGTTTAGAAGCATTACTGCTTCAGACAGAAAGGCAGTGCAGAGAGTGATGAGGATGGCAGAAAAGATTATTGGCAGCTCACTCTCTTCTATCCAGGACGTAGCACATAAGCAATGCTTGAGCAAAGTCCACAGGATTGTGTGGGACACTACATATCCTCTTCATAACCTGTTTTCCTTGTTACCTTCTGGGAAGAGGCTTCGTGGCATCCAAAGCAGAACATTCAGATTCAGCCACATTTTTTTTCCATACAGTTTCAACCTTGTGAACTCTCAAACTTCCCCTTTCCACTATGCATTCAAAATGGACAGTGATTAATATTTATATGTATGTCAGCATTTCAACTAACCAACTCCAAACCACTAAACTCCAAAACAAACATTTCCTCAAAGTTCCATTTTATTAGAATTGTCATATTGGCCCATTTGGGAAAATGCAAATCTGATCCGTGGCTAAAACACTAATTGCTAGAACCAAACACCTGGCAGACAAGACACACATAAAGAATGAACTATGCACCCTGACTAAAGTACTGGCAGCCAACGGCTTCCACAAAAGCAAAATCACTGGCTTGATCCACAAAAACACACTGAGACATAATGGAGACCCAGAAGATGAACAGACCTATGGAACAGCTGTCCTGCCCTAC